ATGGCCACTTGTTGAATACACTGGTCACAAGTCCCCCTACTATAGCCCAGATGAACAAAGGTGGGTGTACTTTGGGTATCCATGGCTTTTTTAATACCCATGTCCCTCTTGTACATAAGTATTTGGAGGATAGATCTAGGTGCCAGTAAGGGATGAGCAGAAATAAGGTGAAGTTATAGTTACTGAGGTATGAAGAACTGATTTGGGGGCAGAGAAGGAGACAACAATGTGGTCTGATAATGAGGCACTTGGTGGGCACGGAGATACCTTAAACTCTGAGAGATATGAAGGAAGGAGAAACACCAATAATTGTTTTTCAGAGCCACCCACTTTCCTATGAAGAAAAATGCCTGATATGGCTCTAACTTTTCCAAGTACCTTTAACTTAACTGACTGCTGGTACTGCCAGACTCACACCACATTCTCTAACCAAAATTTCATTGCTACTCCCCTTAAATTTGCTGAAAAAAATCTACCCAAAACAGGGAGGGATGGTCTTAGCCCCTGCCCCAGAAGAATACAAATCAATACCTCCATTCCCATGGCCGACATTCAGTCACTTCAAGAGGTAGATGAAGTTTGCAGTGTAGACAAACTTTGAACTGACTTTCCTTAAGCAGTCTTCCCAAAGACAAAAAGAGACACAGTTATATGAGATGAATTGGAAATCTAAGGTTTACTATCCAGCAAGGAAGCCACTCACATGTGCGTCAACCTGGGCTGCCTGAGTAATGTAGGTCCTATTCAGTGTGTCCAGCAATTGCAAACATTGTTTTTTGTCTTTCCAGGGGCATCATGTGTATCTCCACACTGAATTTCGTATGTGTAAATCACGTATTAACTCACTTCCATCCCCAAATGATGGTAGCCTGCAGCCTAGGAGTTATTATAAAATATCTTCAACTGTTTATGGAAACACCCCCCAATAGATCCTGCAGCCCTTATACAACAGTAAGGACCTGCTAAGATGAGTGAATAATTTATTCACATTCATCCTGTGGGTAGTTCTCCAAATCTGTCTCTGACTTTAGCTGAAATAATGAATGATACCAACTCAGCCACTGAAGTCATTCAGAACATCGACTCATTATCCATATATTGTTAATGACAATATAATTGCCTTCCATGGAGGGAAGTGCACAAGATGATGTGCACGATCACTGATACATCGCATTGTATCTGGATAATGTAACTGGATTAATCCAACTGGATTGTTGGATTGCTATGATCCTAGCCTAGATCAAAAGAAAAATTACCCCTACCATGGCCCATGTATCAAAAGTAGGAGATGCAGTGGTTCTCCCTTATCCACTAGGGATAAGTTTCAAGATCCCCAGTGGATGCTTGAAAACAAAGATAACACCAAACCCTACATTTACTGTTTTTTTTTTTCTTCCCACTAGTATCAGGATAGCTACTAAGTAACTAAGGGGTGGGGAGTTTATTCAGTGTTGATCTGTTGGACGAAGGGATGATTCACGTCCAGGTTGGGATGGAGCGGAATACTACACCACTCAACACTGTGCAATTTAAAACTTTAATGATTAAAGAAATGATTTAATTATGATTTAATGATTTAAAATGATTTAATGATTAAAA